ACTCTCTTGGTAACTTTTAAAAAATTGACCACTAGAAAGTTGGTTTTCTTTTGTTACTCATTTCTCTTTTCTTCAAGTTCCTCTTTCAAACCATACATATACACATCTCTTCCAAAGTAATCATTACCTTTAAAAAAAAAAAAATTGACTCTTCAACAACATGGGTTTGAACTACATGGGTTTACTGACAGATTTTCTTCTGGGAAATTCCTTCCCAGGCCGCTCCTGGGACAAGAAGACCAACCCCTGCTCTTCCTCCTCCTCCTCCTCCTCCTCCTCTGCCTGGTGATGATGATGAGGATGAAGACCTTTATGATAATCCACTTCTACTTAATGAATAGTAAATATATTTTCTCTTTCTTAAGAGTCTATCTCTAGCTTACTTTATTATAAGAGTAGAGTTTATAGTACATATAACATACAAAATATGTATCAATTGAGTTTATGTTATTGATAAGGTTTCTAGTCAACAGTAGGCTATTAGTAATTCAGTTTTGGGGGAGTCAAAACTTACATGCAGATTTGTGACTGTGTGGGGTTGGTGCTCTAATCCCAGCACTGTTCAAGGATCTGCTGTACTAAAGCTGGCTACTGAGTGTCTTTGCTGAGCTATACAAATAAGAATATGTCTAAGGCACTTCCCCTAATGAAAAAATGGAGAAGTGAATTGTTAAATACAAGTTAAAAGCAGATAACATTTTTGTCTCTCTTAATCGTATGTGACAATGATGAGATCTTATAACTCATAGTTTTCAAAAGAGAAATTTTCATTTATCTTCTGCAGCAAACAGCTTCCTGAGTTGCTTAGGGAAGAACCCTTTGGGAAGTTATAGGTCTATAAGATTCTGTATTTAAATATTCAGCAAATAAAATCTGCAATTCTGAAGTCTTTAAGCCTCCAGTTTGGCTCTCCCAGGTACACTGGAAGCTGTGGTCCTGGCTTTCTTGCTTGATAAGGAAAACTAAAAATGCTATATTAAGTTGTTTTCTTTTCTTTGTTTTTTTTTTTTTTTGAACATAGCTACTAATTGAAAAAAGCCTAAATTCAAAACAGGACCTGTGTCAATGAGAACAAATCTCCCAATTCCGGAATATTGTTGAGTCACCATAGTAATGTGTTGAGGATCTTACTATTAGCAATCAAGTATGATTCCAAAATAGAACACACTCTGACATCTCTCTTGTTATTGATGTCAAAAGAAGGAACAACCAAAAGAAATGAATTTCATAAAAGAAAAGGAAAAACTTACATAATGAACACAGGATAGCCACACTCAGATTTTATTGAATTAAACTCCTGGGAGGTTGTTCAAAGCAAGAATTTATATAGTAATTTCAAGCAAAGATTTCAGAGCTAATTTTTATTCTTCAGAATATTGTAGAAAGAGAAGTCATAGAGGGCCTTCCTAAGATGCTGTAGCTGATAAAATTTCATCTCCATGGAGATAGGTAACCTCTCCCAATCAGGTCCACCTTTTTGTTTAATAAATACTGTAATATTATAATTTTATAATATTTATATTACAATAAGCTAAAAAGCTAAACAATATTAACATTATAATAACCTAGAAAGCTAAGTAGGTAATCAGTAAGCTAAACAGTTAAAGCAAAGCTTTTCGAATCTTGGAGAGCATTTAGTGTGTTTATTGTGGTAAAATACACATGATATAAAATATACTGCTTTAGCTATCATTTTGTTATACAGCATTAACCACATTTATGTTGTTGTGGCATCACTACTATCCATCTCTGGAATTTTCTATCTTCCCAAGGTAAAACTCTGTACCCGTTAAATAATAATTCCCCATTCCCCACCTCCCCTGACAAGCAATGGTCTATTTTCTGTCTCTCTGAATTTGACAACCATAGGTACCTCATGTAAGTGGAATCATATAATATTTGTTCTTTTGTATCTGGTTTATTTCTCTTGGCATAATGTTTTTAAGTTTCATCCATGTTATAGCATGTGTCAGAATTTCATATCTTTTTAAGATTAATATTTCATTGTATGTATATCTATATATTTTTTGTTTATTGATTTATCCCTTGATGAACATTTGGCTACTGTGAGTAATGCTGCTATGAACATGGACATACAAATATCTTTTTGAGTTTCTGCTTTCAATTCTTTTGAGTATATACTCAGGAGTGGAATTGCTGGATGATAGGGTGATTTTATCTTTAACTTTTTGAGGAACCACCATACTCTTTTTCATAGTGGTTCTGCCATTTTGCATACCCACCAGGAAGGTACATTAAAGGTTGCAATTTCTCCACATCCTCACCAACAAAATAACATTTGTTATTTTTTGGGATTTTTTTTCTTTTTAAGTCTTTTTTTTTAATTTTTAAAAGAGTAGCTATCATGGCTTGCATATTTATGTGCCCCCAAAATTCACATGTTGAAATTCTAATCCCAAATTGGATGATATTAGGAAATGCAGAGTCTTTGATTGGTTATTAGGTTTTTTTATTATTATTATTATTTTAGCAAATATACAAGAGGTGCTATATCACCGTTGTTTCTTAAAGCTGAGTGGTACTCCATGGTATACATACATATACCACATTTTATTAATCCACTCATGAATTGATGGGCACTTGGGTTGTTTCCACAGCTTTGCAATTGTGAATTGTGCTGCTATAAACATTCGAGTGCAGGTGTCTTTTTTGTAGAGTGTCATTGGATTTTTGGGTAGATGCCCAGCAATGGGATTGCTGGATCAAATGGTAGATTCACTTGTATCACTTTAAGTTATCTCCATATTGCTTTCCACAGAGGTTGAACTAGTTTGCAGTCCCACCAGCAGTGTAGGAGTGTTCCTCTCTCCTCACATCCATGCCAGCATTTATTGTTTGGGGACTTTTTGATAAAGGCCTTTCTCACTGGAGTTAAGTGATATCTCATTGTGGTTTTGATTTGCATTTCCCTGATGATTAGATATGTTGAACATTTTTTCATATGTTTGTTGGCCATTATTTTGTCTTCTTTTGAGAAGTTTCTGTTCATGTCCTTTGCCCATTTTTTGATAGGGTTGTTTGATTTTTTTCTTGCTGATTAGGTTTTAATAAAGTCACAAGGGGATTAAGTCATCATGATGGGATTAGTGTCTTTAAGAGAAGGGAAATAGACTAGAGATTTCCCCTTTGTGAGGGTATAAGAGAAGACAGACTTCTGCAAACCAGGAAGAGGGCCCTCACCCTCTTAATAATAAATCTGCAAGTAATCTGACTTTGGACTTCCCAACCTCCAGAACTGTGCAAAGTAAATTTTTGTTTTAATCCACCCAGTCTATGATATCTTACTGTAGCAGGCCAAACTGTCTAAGACAATAGCCATTGCAATAAATGGGAAGTAGTATAGCACCATAGCTTTTATTTGCATTTCCCTAATGATTGGTGATGTTGAGCATCATTTTGTGTACTTATTGCCATTTGTATATCTTCTTTGAAGAAATGTCTGTTCAGCTCCTTTGCACATTCTTCAATTGAGTTGTTTGTTTTTTTGTTGAATTGTAAGAGTTCTTTATGGTTATCATAAACCCATTGTTAACCATCTTGATCAACTCCCCTACAAGTACATCTAACTTAAACATTAAATAAATGTAATTAAAATATATATAATATGTGAAATATACAATCAAATGTTTCAGCTTCTTTTTGTTAAATCCCTTTACTACAAATTAGAAATTGGATTATGTTTTATCTGCATTCTATAGATTATTTTCAAGATGTCATTTTAAATTTATAAGAATTGATGAACCATATAGGGCTTCTCTAAAGTAGCATGTTCAAACATGGCTTCCAAACACCAAAGGGCCTATAATTTGTTTAAAACCATTCATTTCTACTTTGTCACTGCTTCATGCTGGGGTGTGAGCTACTGGGTCACAATAATCCAAATCCTCACCCCATCAAATTAACTAATTAAAAGGAGGAAACACCCATCACAAGCACAACCAAATAGAACATTCAGGATGATCCTTTACAGACAGTTAAAAAACATGTCAACCTGTTTTCCACTGGCATAAATCTTAAAGCCCTTGAATATTTTATGTGCTTGGACTTTTATTTGGCAGTTAAAATATTCTAATAGTTCTCTACTGGAGGTGATTTTTATTCCCCAGGGGACATTTGCCCCCAAAATGTCTGAAGGCATTTTTGGTTATCTTGACTGGGGGCAGAGGTATCCTGACTTTAGTTAGAAGCCCAGGGATTCTGCTAAACATCCTACAGTGGACAGAAGAGGCCCCACAACAAAGAACTATCTGATCCAAAATGTCAGTAATGCCAAGATTGGGTTACATCTCCAATCCTTATTGATCCGAGTGTGCACCCCAATAGGACTATGTCAGAGAGAGATGTCCTTATTCTGAGCGTCTCAGGATTCAAAAGAATATGACACAAGAACACTCTGGGGCACTTCACATAGACCCCTGAGTGAACCTTTCCCTCTAAATGGTGTTATGGCATTTCACAAACCTGAAATGGTGCCACGTGCTTCTCTAAGAATAACATTCAGCTGTAGGAGATGATTTTTTTTTTAACTATTCCAAAGATCAGGAAGAGCTTGGTCATCTATATCTATATATGCTTGGTTATATAGATATAGATACATATGCTTTGCAACAACATGCATTTAACAGCTTTGTAAATCTTAATAGAACAGTCAAAAATAATACTTTTATATATTATCTATTTGACATTTAAAAATTTTCTGAAAACAAAAGTAAGAAGAGTTGGGTTTACTTGATAAGTAGCTATGTCATTCTAAGACTTCTGCCAGTATTGGAATCCTTACAACCACAATTGGGATCCTTACAACCTTAATCTAGATTTCATTTCAAAACCGAGTAGGTATTAAGCATTTTGTAACTATTTGGGGAATTTTAAAGGTTATTAAGTTCTGAATAACAGAGTCTCTCATGTTTTCCCACCGAGCTTTTCCCAGCAGTTGAATATATCTGGATCTTATTCTGGTTTTTTTATTCTTTTTTTAGCTTCCTGAGATGACTCATGTTCAAACACAACGACCCTGGGTGATGTTTCTCCTGCAGAATTTTGGATTGATCCTAGGTTGGCTTTCTCTCCTCCTCTTGGCTATATATGAACAAAATATTAAAATATAAGTTAGCATCCTCAAAATCCTCCAGAAGTGATTCTATATGGCCTTGCTTTGTTTCTTTTGTTGCACTCTATGGTGATTTGTAAATTAAGTATCTTTTTTCCTTAGGTGAAGTGTATGTCTTTTAGTTTATTAATTTATTAATTTTATAAAGTAATTTTGTCTTTGGAAATTTACAAAAATCAAACTGTCCTTAATTGAAATTTTGGTTTTTGTTTCCAACACCATGATAAAATTTTTTTTTTAAAAAAATTAGTAAATTCTGAATTAATTCCAGTAAACTTAAAAAAAAATATTATGTCCCCAGGAAAGAATGTATGTTTATAGTATTTGAAGTGGACAGATGCCTGTTAGGGTAAAATCAACTGTGACTTCTTTGATGTCAATAATATGTATTTGTTTTTCTGTGAGATTATAAACCATAAGCAAACTAAGTGACAAAAAAATGTAATAAAGTCTAGTTTCAATGTGATGATTTGTATTACCTTCTGTTACTGGATGTCAGATTGTGACATTGTGACACTATATTGGTTTAAAAAGCCAATATAGTGTAGTTCACTGACTCAAGGTACTCATGAATATGACATCTTGGTAAGCCTAAAGGATACTATGTCAGCATTCTTCTCTATAAGTCACCAAACGAAATCTATTCCAGGAAAGAGGAATTGGAAACAAAAGATGAGTTCAAGATTTTTTAAAATGATAAAGTTTGAGTCAGGCAGTAGATTAATGCCTTAAACACTCAGAGATTTAACAGTAAATTTACGGGAATAATCTCACTGATAAGTGAAATATATTTTATATTCTTTTTGAGGAAACAGAATCCTAAACACGATTTTTTTTTTAGTAGCTAAGTTCATGAAATCAACAAGCAACATTATTGATAACCTAGCTAGATCGTTAAAACAGAAAATAACCCTGGCTTTCGTCATTTTCTTTGGAAAATGGATGCCTAATATTTTTCTTATTTTTTTTAAGCATATGTCTTGACAAGGGGAAAGGCCCATTTGACTGCCAACATGACTCACGTTGCCAAGTCAAATACATCCCTCCCACCCCTTCCTCACTAGCAGGTAGATACTCTTTGCCATGCTCCACTCAAACACATCCTTTTTTCAACCACCTTTGAGTTCAAAACGAGGTAAGTTTCTTCTCCAGTTGTCTTTAGAACTTGATTTAAGGAAAGGTCATCGTATAGTGTCATAGTTCTCAAACTCCGGCATGCAGTAGGATCCACTGGAAGGCTTATCTATGGAAAATACAGATTTCTGGGCTCCATTGCTGGAGTTTATGATTCGCTAGGTCTGGAGTGAGGTCTGAGACCTTGATTTTGAACCACTTCCGGGTGATGCTGATTCTGTCATTGGGACGCCACTCTGAAGGCACCGCTGGGGTGAGTGATAGAACTCAGGCAGCTTTGGTTTCAAGAAAGAGCAGGTGCACAACTCTATTGCCCAAGAGCTGTGTGCTTTTGAGTAAGTTGGTTAACACATCTACAATCTTCATGCTAGACGTGAGTTTCTAGACTGACACTTCCTTCTCTCTTTGTCCCCTTTGCCTTGGAGCGCCAGATCCATTCCAGGAGTCGCTGGACGAAGAGTCCACAGTTAGTGTGTTACTCACATTTGTCCCCAAAAGGTAAGCAGATTTGCCACATAGAACTCTGCCTCCCTTTTTCTTTTGTTAGGGAACAGGTTTTAGCTGAACAAAAATCCCTTTGTACAGGTCAACACGGTGTGGAGGTCACACACAAGGAGTTTTTGGCACCGTCTGTGTTTGGGTTTTTGTGACCAGGCTCTGATTTGGACATTAAGCCTTAATTTAAGCCAATTTAATTAGAAAAGCTCTGATGGATGACTTTGTTCCAAGTTCAAGTTTAGAGTTGTTTGGGGCTGGCTGAATTAAAATTTTCAGTGTGAGCTGCTCACTCCATAACCTGCATGTTAGAGTGAGTTGAATTTGACCTTCTGGGAAAGTTGGAAGTAGGATGCAGACAGGCTTGAAGGGAGTTTCCAGTCGGGGGGATTCAGAGGGACATCCTTAGTGAGTATTTTGCAGGTCTATCATTAGCGTGTCCTGATTGTGAGCAGAAAGAAATTACCTGCAGGAGTCATCTTGAGGATAGTATGGTGTAGTGACTCCTGAGAACACCTTTCTAGATCATCATTTCTCCTCATCTGTTGGCTTCTTGCTAGTCCACACCATAGCCTGAGATGGACCTCCGGCCATAAGCAATCTTTGAATTGCTAGAAAATCTCTATTCCTCAACATTGAGCAGTAATAATAAAACCATGATGACAACTATTTTGCCTTCTAAATATGAACAGAGTCTAAATTTGGGATGACTGAATACCATCATCTCTTTTAAGCTATCTAAGTTATGTGTTACTCACTGATCTTTGGGGTGAGTGGTGTTTTCCTTGAAACCAGATCTCTCAATAGCATTTCAGTATTTCTGTTTCCCAGGCCTACATTTAGGATTCCATTGTATTTCTACTTGATGATTGAGTTGTTTTTTTGTGGGTTTTTTTCTTTTTTCCTGCTGAACTAGAAATGTTCCCGGAGAAAAATCAAAGAGCAAATCTACAGAAATCTTATTTAAACATCCATCATTGTTGACAGGGCCATCTTTAGGGACAGGGGAATTGTTCCTTGTCACTGTGGCATGGAGTGCAGAGCCCGGGGAGGTGGCTCCACTGCTATGTGTCGAACAGGACTGGAGTCTTATACAAATGTGTCCATAAATTCTGACCACTTCCAACCCCTCCACTTCCCTTCCCTGAACCCAGCCTTGCAGGTGAGACTGTCCCTTTCCTTATGAGAGACACCTCTCAGGATACTGCACGTTTGTAACTTCCCTTCCTCTTCTAAATTAGAAGGGGAAGGCTGGGACAAGAGGCGTCTTCATCACTCGGGTAGACTGGGCTCTTGCATGGTCATTAAGAATTCAGGCTTTGAGTTGGAATCTTGGTTCACATCCCAGCTACACCGCTTAATAGCCTTGTAGTGTCTTTGAACAATAATTTCTCATGGAAAATAGGGCTGAAAAGAGACCTCTCGTAGGATTATGGTAAGGTTCGTATCAGATACCACTCATGAAGCACTTAGCACAGTGCCTGGAAGATACTAATAGTTCAATAATTATTAAATCATCATCATCATCATTGATCTCCTCTTTTATATCACAGCTTCACAATTAACTTGTCAGTGCTATGCTTTCGGTCAAGGAAATGTCTTTTCTTGGTGGAGAACAGAGATCAAGCCTTTTTATAGCTTTGCAGTCTTTTATCGAGTCTGCAAACCAGCTCCCACCAGCCCTTCAAAGCTGTGCTGAATGCATCTTTTCATCTTGACTCGTGTCCAGAGCAGGAGAGATGTGGGTCCCCTCTGGTTTGCCCCTCTCTGCCCATCCTCCCCGGGCAGGCTTCGAGCACATGTCACAGTGCTTACACCCAGCACGGGCCCCTCTCTCTTATCCTTTCTCTCTCATAATAAGTGAAAACCTATCATGTTCCATTCCAGTTATATTTCTAAAGGTTGAATGAAGGAATCTGGCAGAGAGGAAACTGTCTGAGGTCATGGTTATTGCCACGACTTGATTTTCACTCAGGGAGAAGAAAAAGTAGTTCAACTGATTCCTCTTGTGTCCAATGCACCTGCTGGGGAAATCAAACCAGCCCTGGAAAGAATCTAGAACCATCCAGGTAAACAGGGTGTCTGCTCACTGGTGCTTGGCATGTTCAAATAAGGCCAATGCCAACTGGCCAGGAGCACATACTTTACAAGCTATCTGGAATTTTTGCTTTGTGGACCAGATGTGTCTCGTGGTCTCAGCATTTTCATTAAATATCAGGCCATGCAGAATGCTCATGGAGTCAACCCACAGCGTCACATAACGATGGCTTTGGAATAAGCTTTAGAGATTTAATTCAACTCTTTGATTTTATAATGGTGATGTAATAGCAAACATTTTTATAGCACTCATTATGTGCCAGATAAAAGTGTATTATGAGAGTCATTTGATTCTCTTAACCCTGAAAGTGTAGGTGTGATACTGTTTTCAACCCCATTGTACAGATGAAGAAATTGAGGCCTAATGAGGTCAGTTGACTTGTCCAAGTTTACAGCACTAAGGGGGGCTGGCTCTAGTCTATGATGTTAATTCCTGTATCACACTGCCTCCATGGATAGGAAACTGAAGTTCAGAGGGTCTGAATTATTCCCCAAACTCTTATCTTTGGAAAGGGGTTGACGGAGGGATAAATTCCAGATCTCTGACTTATATTCCAACAATCTTGACTGTCTTCTGTGGTCCTGTTCCATCAAATCTTCTCATCTATAAGGTCTCAATCATCTGAGGTTCCTTTTACTATTTCAGTTCATATTAATTTCCCCTCATGGAGATCTACAATCTGTGCAGAAAGGTTTTGCACTGCCTTCTTGGTTTTCTAATTGTTGATTTTAGGGAATGGTAGAGTGCTCAGAGGATTGAGCCCCAGAAGTTTGTGAGTCTTCAGGCTTCCACTTCCATCTCTGAGTTTCAGGAGACCAGACGAGGTGATCCCTTAAAATCTTGCTGAGTATTGGCCATTCGGTCCTGTGGAAGGCCTCCCAGGGGAAGTGGTGGTGTTTGTATTCTTCACTGTGTATCAAATAGCATCCGGCTTTAAGGTATGTTCTACTAGTCTTGTAGAAGTTGCTAGTACAGTAGGTTGAATTGCGTGCCCTCCCAAATTCATGTCCAGCTGGAACCTTGGAAATAAGGTTCTTACAGATATAATTAGTTAAGTTAGAATGAAGACATATTGGCTTTAGGTGGGCCTTAACTCCAATCTTACCGGTGCCCTTATAAAAAGAGGAGAAGAGACACAGACTCACATACACACAGAGGGAAGATGACCAAGTGAAGAACGAGGCAGAGACTAAAGTGATGCAGCTGGAAGCCTGGGAATAGCAGGAATTTCCAGCAACCACCAGAGAAGCAAGAAAAATATAAGGAAGGAATCTTTCCTAGCATCTG